ACCCCGAGATTAGGAGTCGTACACTCTACCGAATGAGCCAGCCAGGCGCCCCCCGTAATGCTTCTTAATAGTTTTCCTTTTCACCTTTAAACTTAGACCCATTCGGAATTCATCTTGACATATGGTATAAAGCTAAATTTACATGGTAAATTTTTTCCCCTAAAAAATAAGCCAGTTTCCTGCCACGTTTGGAAAGACTGTCCATGTCATACACTATATTCTCATTTATCTGTTTGGGTCTCTTTCTAGATTGTCTAGCTTCTTCCATTGCTTTGCCTGCCCTAGGCCTGCAGCTTACTATTTCAATTATTGTAATTTTATACTATAATATTTTGTAGGGTACCTTCTCCTTCATTGTTTTGCTCCCTACCCTGCAGGATTTTCTCACATGGCAGCCCCTTTATTTTTCCTTTGTCATTTGCTTCTAGTCGAGGATGGATATTGTCGACACCTAGGGATTGTAATGAAGGGCTCCCTTCTGGGTCTTCCCCCACCTCACATACCCAGGGGAAAAATTATGCTCTTGGGCTCAGACAAGACCATCTCTGGCGGTAGGTCTGATCTGGTTTAAATCAGTAATGAGTCTCATGGAGAGGAGAGCACATCGACCCAGGACGCCAGTCTGGGGGATGGGGAACAGCACCCTGGAAAACATGGCTAGAAATTGAGGTTATTTAACCTTGAAATGTGGCTAAGAACTAGCCTGATGAAGTTCAGGTTTTGACATTAGGGAGAAAAAGTCACCAGTTTAAAAGACGGGGTGGGGAAGGTCTCAGAGCAGAAAGCAGTCTGGAAGTCACATGGTGAGGGGATCAGCAGGAAGGCAGAAACCAGCCAGGGGGCAGGAGAGGCCTTCCTGCTCCCTCCGTGGACCTGCCTTCTGCAAGCCTGTTGAGCACTTTGTCCTGCTTTGACCGAGGGTGATGAGCAACAGGGTGGTTTTAAAAGCTTAGCCAAGGGGCGCCTGGGTGGCTCAGTGGGTTAAGCCTCTGCCTTCGGCTCAGGTCATGATCTCAGGGTCCTGGGATCGAGCCCCGCATCAGGCTCTCTGCTCAGTGGGGAGCCCACTTCCCCACCACCTCAGCCTGCCTCTCTGCCTACTTGTGATCGCTGTCTGTCAAAAAAATAAATAAAGTCTTTAAAAAAAAATTAAAAAAAAAAAGGTTAGCCAAGAGATTAGAAGAACTAGAATTAGTAATCTCAGAGAAGAATAAACAAAGGAACAGTTTAAAAGAGCCAGAGGAAGTTTCTCACACACAAAGTGAACAGTAACTCACCCTCCGGGCTGAAAACAGGAAGTGTGTGATAAAAACCACTTACTCTATAGTGACAGCAAAACTTCACAAACGAAAGGGAAAGGGCATTTCCATGTTCCCGTGAAGCCCTGAGGGAAGGGGCACATTCCCTTGGGGGGACCTGCTTGGGGCTTTTCAAACCTCACCCCCCTCTCCCCATCAACCCCGCAGGAAGCTAGCGGCTGTCTTCCTCAGGGGTGTCAGATCCAGAATCTCTTGGAAATGGCATCAACTTTTCACACCTTTTGCGAGACCTTGGCTGTAAGTAGGGACCGTTTCAGGCCACATCCGAGGGTCCCTGGCAGTCCCACAAGCTTATGGAAACCAGAATTTATGTGACCATATCTGGGTGACTTTGGAAGAAATGCTAGACTTGGCAGTGTCTGATACAAGTGACTCGGGGCTCTCAAGTCTTCCATTTGGTATTAGATGCCTGGGCTTCCGAGGGGTCAGCCCAGCTCCCTTGTCTCTGCTCTGGTGCATTTATGTGGTCCCCCTGGGCAGCTGTGGCCTCTGCTACTGATGACTGACTCTGTGTCACTCCGTGTCTCTCCCAGTTTGCTCCTGTCTGTACCTGTATTCTCACTGCCTGTTGGATGAGGAGCACAGCAGACTTAGTGATGTCTAGATGTGAGCTGCTGCTTTTTTATATTATTATTATTATTTTTTTTAAGATTTTATTTATTTATTTGACAAAGATCACAAGTAGGCAGAGAGGCAGGCGGAGGGAGAGAGAGAAGCAGGCTCTCTGCTGAGCAGGGAGCCCGATGCAGGGCTTGATCCCAGGACGCTGGGATCATGACCCGAGCCAAAGGCAGAGGCTTTAACCCACTGAGCCACCCAGATGGCCCTAGAAGTGAGCTGCTTCTGACCTTCTACCCCCAGACCTTGGTGAATGACGTCATGACCAATGCAGCCACCGAAACCAAAGCCCACATTCGTCCCCCTTCCTTGTCTTCGACCACGATCTGTTCTCTCTCCCCTCCGAGTGTCTCTTCCATCTGCGACCTCTTCTCCATTCTCAGTCCCTCACTTGCTTCACCTCAGGCGCTGCATACCTAGATTTTTGGGCAACATGAACTTTGGTTCTTTTCCAGTTCGTCCTCCAACCAGCTGTCTAAATTGTACTTCTAAAATCCATATCTGCTAAGACTCTGTAAGTGACTTCCTGTTTCCAGGACCTCTGGAAACCTCCCCACACCTCCCCCTGCTTGGCTGCTTGCCTCTCCCAGGCCAAGACTCCACCTTTCAGCTCCCCTGAACCACGTGGTAGGTAGGGCCTTGGTTCTGCCTTTGCCCTCTCTCCTGCCGCCTGCCCCTTGGCGCATGCAATTCTACATTCAATGCTTTGCCCACCCCCTGCCCTTGGTCAGGTGTTCCTCTGCACCCCGACAGTGCCCTGTGTATGACTTCATCATAGCTCTAAGTGCCGTGTGTTTATGCACCTATCTCCACTGTGAGACTTTGAACTCCTGGAAAGCAGAAACCGTGTCTTCCACCGCTGTTTCTCCCGGCCTCCCATGGTGCATGGTGTATAACAGTAGCTAACAAATGGGTTGGTTGGTGATGTGTGATTAACATATTTAATTGAGCTTTTTTATGGAATAGTAATTGACATGCAAATTGTATTAGTTTTAGGCATATGACATGATAATTTGATATTCATATACATGATGAAATGGTCACCATGGTAAATCCAGTCACCATCTGTCACCATAGACAGCCGTTCAAATATTATTGGCTGTTTTCCCTATGCTGTACACTACATCCCCATGTCTTATTTATTTTATAACCAGAAGATTTTAACTCTTAATCGCTTTCTCTTATTTTGTCGACCCTGAAACCCCCACCCTCTGGCAACCATCATATTTGATCGTGCTTTAAAAAACTATCTGGGACGCCTGGGTGGCTCAGTCAGTGAAGCATCTGCCTTCAGCTTGGGTCATGATCCCAGCGTCCTGGGATCAAGTCCCAAATCGGGTTCCCTGCTCTGCAGGGAGCCTGCTTCTTCTCTCTGCCTGCCACTCCCCTTGGTTGTGTTCTCTCTCTGACGAATAAATAAATAAGATCTTTAAGAAAAATTTTTTAAATAAAAAACTAGGCAATTGGGGCACCTGGGTGGCTCAGTGTCTCAGCTTAAGTGTCTGACTCTTGATTTCAGCTCAAGTCATGATCTCAGGCTCCTGAGATCAAGCCTTGTGTGGGGCTCTGCACTGGGCATGAAGCCTGCTTAAGATTTTCTCTTCCTCATCCTCTGTCCCACCCCTCCCCAAAACCCCACAAATTATGTAGGAAGGTATAAGTTTTTATTTATTATAATATGGATTGGGAATTTCTACCCCAAGTCTATTTTCTTAATTATTTTTATTTTTTAAAGATTTTTATTTGAGAGAGGGAGAGAGAGAGAATGAGTTGGGGGGAGGGGCAGAGGGAGAAGCAGCTTCCCTGCTGAGCAGGGAGCCTATGAAGGGCTCTATCCCAGGACTCTGGGATCATGACCTGAGCTGCCCAGATGCTTAACCAATTGAGCCACCCAGGTGCCGCCCCCCAAGGTTATTTCCAAATTGGGTAAATGAAGTCTTGAGTATTTATCTTGGTCTCCTAGTCCTTAATTTCACTGTAGTAGATTTTAAGACCAGGGTTGTGGCGGGGGGGGGGGGGGGGGGGGGGGGGGGGGGGGGGGGGGGCTCATATTTTTAAATTTTTTAAAATTAAAAAAATTAATTTAAATTCAATTAACATTTAGTGTATTATTAGTTTCAGAGGTAGAGCTCAGCAATTCATCAGTCTTCTATAATACCTGGGAGGGCATTCCTATTTTATTCTTTGTCTTTTTCTCTTCCTTTCTCCCTCTGTAAATCTCATTCACTTGATAGCAGTCTTGAGAAGATTATATGAGATGAGGCCTGTGCAGGACACAGCTAGTGCATTTGGTGCATGCCCAGTGCACCTGAGCTGAGGTGCCCACAAGGCAGAATGGCACGCCGTGTGTTCATACTATGAATGTAACTACCGGTTAGATTCTTAAACACTGGCGTCAGCTGATACAGTCCCCTCCCAGTAGAAGGTCTATTTGGGATATCTGGTTGCTGGGGAGAACAAAATAAGGTTAGAATGCTCTGTGACTGGAAAGGATCTAGAAGTTAGAAATGCAGGTCTTGCCTGCCAAATAGGAACCTGTCCAGCACGTTAACTGTCAGCCCCACTGTGTGCGCCCTCTGTCAGCACTGGGGCATCACTTAAAAAAAACAACAAAACACAAACCATTGTGTAACATATATAACATAAAATGTACCGTTTCAGCCATTTTCTGGCACAGAGATTATTGGCATTAAGTCCCTTCACAATGTTGTAAACCCTCACCACTGTCAATTTCTCGAACCTTGTCGTCACTCCAAACGGAAACTGTTGATCATTAAGCAACAAACTCCCCCTTGCCTACCCACCCCGTCAGTCCTCAGCAACCTCTAACCTACTTCTGGATCTGTGAGTTTGTTCCAGATGTTGCACAGGAGAGGGATCATCCTTCGGAGTCTGGCTCGTTTCACGTAGCATAATGTTTTCAGGACTCATCCGTGTGGTAGCAGGTGTCCGAAAACACTCATCGCTTCTTACATTCAGACTTCCCTTGTGATGGCCCCGTGAGGACCACTTTCGTCATGCTTCCACTCATTCCAGTCACACCCTTTTCCTCTTTGTTTTCAGAGCCTCCCCCTCCGGAAGTAGACTTTGTCACAGTGCATGGAGGGCCTCTACCCCGTCTGAAACTGAGGAAAGTCAAGGAGAAAAATGGACCTATCAGGTAGGTAGTGGCCCCTTTCCTGTGGTGGCCTGGATGTTCTCACGGAGAGTCTTGGAAGCTTTGGTTTGATGGAGGAGGGGGCTTCTGAGGTGCTGCACTTGAATGGTTGGGGCAGGGCAATCAGGGACTCTTGTCTGTGATTCCTTGGACACAGACTGGGCCTTTAGTTCCAACCAGCATCCTTCCAAATGAATAGGGAGACTCTTAAGGGGCCAGAGATAGGTATCCGGGCAGCTTAGCTCGACAAACGAAATCCCTTCCTTTCTTTGGTCACTGGCCAGACAAGCACTGATTGCATGTGATGTGTAAGGCGTTAATCCTTTACACTCACCTCGGTGTCTCTCGGTGCTGGTGGACCAGGAGCAGCATTTCATTTAAAGATGATTTTTGTGTAGTGGATCTGAAAGGCTCATTTGGATAATTCTCTTAATTCGTCCACACATTGAGTTATTGGGCAAGACACTATGTAGCTAATGACTGTTTCTGGGATTCCAGATGGTATTAGGATAGAATTAATTCACCTGACTTGGAGAACTACATTGTGTTCCATTTAAGCATTTTATTTACAGGGTCATGCCTGGATTAGAAAAGCAGAATTATTCCTTTTTTTTTTTTTTAGAAAGGAAGATAGAGGTTCCTCTTGAGAGATAAGCCCCTTGCTCACAGGAATAAGGCAAGGACATGGCAATAACCTTGCCATCCTTGACCTAACCTTCATTGCCTTATGTCATTCTTGACCTGTTAGTCTAATGACCCTTTAGTATATTCGAGCAGATACTATAAAATTATAAAAAAGAAAGTCTGGGTATATTATCTATTTGTCTCTTTTTTATTTGTTTGTTTAATTTTAAGTAGGCTCCATGTGTGGTGTGGAGCCCAGCATGGGGCTTGATCTCATGACCATGAGATCAAGACCCAAGCTGAGATTGAGTCACTCAACTGACTAGATCACCTAGGTGCCTCTGTGTATCTCTTGATAATGAAACTTAGGCTTTTCCTGTCTTTCCATTAGTTTAAGTGCAGTAAGTTCTCAAAGGTTTTTCCAGGCATGGATATTGCCTACGTTGTTCTATTCCTTGATTCCTGATGAGTTACTGGAAGGCCCTGCCATTCTGTTGCTATGAGGAGAACAGAAGTTATGATATCACTGCCTGAGAGACTTTGCAAGAGCAAATGTAATATGTAGGCCAAATAATTATGTAAGGCCAAAAAAAAAAGAAGCCAGATGATAGTCTATCCTTGTGGCTAATGTGCCCTCCAGTGCCTCCAAAACAGGAAGTGGAGATCTGTGAATCATTCCAGGGAGGGTGGCGGTGAGAAAGAGGGGAGAAGTCTTTCCAGAACAGTCATCCAGACAGCCACAACTGCTTCCCTAACGTCATCAGGGTTAATTACCAACAGGCAAATGGAGCAGTTTCCTCTCCCTGACTACCTGGTTTGAGCTGGGGGAGCAGCTTTGCCAGTGTGGGAGAGGCCCGAGTCTGCTTTCTACATTGTTCAGGGAGGGGGGCAGGGGTGTGGGGCACATGGTGGAACAGGGCCCTGGGACCAAAGACCCCCTCCTTAGCTTGGTGATCTCGGGCGAATGATGCATTCTGTTCCTGGGCTCTCGTCATGCTAGTGTCTCCCACAATTGCCAACTTATAGAAATAACCTGGGGTGCCTTATCAGCAGTACAAATTCTCAGACTCAGCTCCTGGAGATTTCGATTCATTAGGTCTGGAATGGGGGCTGGAAATCTGTGTCATTATTAAGCAGCATAGGTGGTTATGATCATGCTGACTGGGGAGACTGCTTTATGCCCCATGAATGGTGCCTCTAATGTCCAGAACCAAAGGTGAGGCTTGAAGTTGCCCTTGAACGCCACCATCCACAAGGCAAGATGGATTGGAAGAGGAGTTTGAGGACAGCATGGAGCTTCCGCACCATTTACTCCCTTACCTGCAGCCATGATTCCTAGGGATGTCTTCAAGTCTCCAGGGAAGCATTTCCAGCATTTCCTTGTAGGTGGTGGATGCTTTAAAGAGGTTTACTGGTGGTGGCAGCAGCAGCTCCCCGCCCTGCAGGCTTGACCTTTTACCTTTTGTGAAAAGCTCTTTCCTGGAAAGTGAGCCCAGACTTGGTGGAAATCAGGGCCCCGAAGACACACAGGATGTTTGCGATGGAGACTTTCCAAGTCTAGGACGTACTGCCATGGAGGGCTCCCTTTTCTTAACCTAGTGACTCATGGTCTTTTAGGAAGCAGGAGATGGGGCATTAAGAATGTGGAATAGGAAGTTGTATACTTACTAGTAAAATAGATTATGTGGCCTCATGGTTTGGAAATGACCCTAATCATCTTTGGTACTCATGCATGTCTTTCCTCTTTACGGAAACATCAACTCAAGAAACATTAGTGGGGAGTTGGCCTCAGCCAAAGACCTGGGTAAGGGTTTGCAAGTGTACAGGAGTAAGTCCCTTAGATCCCTTCTGTCAGGCCTGATAGAGAAAGCAGATGTTTAGGCACGTGCTCTCCTGGAGGCAGGACAGAAGGACGGAAGGGAGGGGATGAAAAAGGAGGCGTGATTCATACTTGGTGTTTTTATTCTTACACCTCCTTTCACTGACAGGGTTTGTGTTTGGTAGAATCAACAACAAAACACAGAAGGATACTTGCTCGCTGTTGTGCTTCTCTGTCCATGTTCAGGGGACAGTTTCACAATGTACACATGACATTTTAACTTTCTGGCTATTTCAGGACATGGTCGGACTAGATTAATGCACAGTGACTTGGCGCTCCTTGCTTCTCATTTATTTCACATGAACTTTGGTATCTGGGCCCTGGAAGGAATGCAGGTCACATGAGTTTCATTTCAGGTTACCATGTGATTGAGCCTTTCTGCAGGCTTAATACATTAACGCTTGTAGGCAGGCAGCCTCCTTGTGACTGCTAAACCCTTTCCACAGCTGGGCTTTTTTTTTTTTTTTTTTTTTTTTGCCCATGTGGAAACCACTGTTGAGAGGAGGTGTACGGCGTGCCCTCTCTGGGTAGCTGTACGTGGAGCAGCCCCTCCTGGCTAAAGAGGGTTTACTTGGCATCTATCTGTGGCAGAACCTGACGACTCACATCGCGTCATGTGGCATTAGCACTGGAGGTCCAGACTGGAGTTCCCTAAGTGTTGGCACTCCCAGACTGTAAATCCACGCCCCCCCCAACCCCCAGGGGCAGGGACTTTTTCTTGTCTGGTGATGTGTCTCCAGTGCCCGCAAAAGTGTTTCGCTCATAGCAGGTGCTCGGTAAATGTGAATAATTGAATGAATGACTCTCCCAAGCAAGGGTCTGATAGACGTTTTCTTTTTTCTTTTTCTTTCCTTTTTTCAGTTCATATCAGGTGTTAGTGCTTCCCCTGACGCTCCAAAGCACCTTTTTTTGTGATTCTGAATGGGCCGCCTCATTCTTTAGCAACACTTCTGATGCTGAAGGGTATGTGGCTGCAGAACTACTGGCCAAAGATGTTCCAGATGATGCCATGGAGATGTCTATTGGAGACAGGCTATACTACGGGAAATACTATAATGCACCTTTGAAAAAAGGGAATGATTACTGCATCATACTGCGAATCACAAGTGAATGGAATAAGGTACACCTCTTTAAAAACTCATGAATTCTCTATTTTCTTCTTTGTGTGAAATGTAGATGTTTGAACATTTGTTTCCCCGGTATTTGAGATGGACACCGCATGTACCAACCAGAAAAATGTGTTGAATACTTTGCCTGCATAAATTATGGGCTGGTGAGACCTTTAAGGAGGTTGATGGTCTGAAGTGTCACTTCTCTGTGCTGCTGCCAGGCTGCTGCCTCCCTGCACCCTCTCGGAAGCAGGAAGGAGAGGCTTCTCCTTGAACATCAGTGCTGCCCTATTTTCTGCTTTCTGGACTGTTTTGGCCACACCCACCTTTCCTCATCCTTAGAAAGCCTACCTTATTCCAGGGGTGGTTCTTTCATGAAACCAGAACTATGGAGTCATTGCATCGTGAGGAAAGATAGTGAGCTGGACAAGCAGGATAGCAAGAGCTGAATCAGTGAGTCGGGTGAAAGATCTAGAAGAACCATTGTGATGGTTGCCCCGGGAGAACTCAAAGTATGATATAAATTCATATAGACTGGGAATGGAAACTAGAAGAAAATTATATTAATAGAAACATCACTTGACTGATGAATTGAAGCCATCTTGAGTGTAAGGTTCCTTCCTTTCTTCCTTTCTTTTTCCCTCCCTTCTTTTCTTCCCAACCCAGGGCTTGAACTCACAACTCTGAAGTCAAAAGTTGAGCTGAGATCAACAGTCAGATGCTTAATTGACTGACCCAGCCAGGCGTCCCCATACCATATTTAAAACTGACACATACTCTGTTAAGTTCTGTGTAGGACACCAGTCTAACGTGCCATTATCATGCTTGATGGTAAACCAGTGGTTACTTTTAAGAATATGTAGTAGTAAAAAAAGAAAAGAATATGTACAAGTAGCAAAGAGATTTGGTAGTATTTGTGACAATAACGTAGGAATTAAGAATTGGCAGTCTAAAGCCCAGAATATATTTCCCTGAACTTGTTTAAAAGGTGTTTATGACTCAAACAGGGCCTTCTCGCTTAGCTGGAGATCCTGCCTTGGCATTTCTAGCCGCAGACCTAGCACTAGCTATACAACATTAGTACATTAGTACAGTGTAGAGAGTGCTCAGAGAGCTGCCGTCCCAGATTGGGACTTTGGTCTAAGAGGTACACGAGGACACATGGGCTGCCATAACAAAATACCATAGGCTGGGTGGCTTAAACCACAGAAATGTATTTGTCACAGCTTTGGAAGATGAGAAGTCTAAAATTAAGGTGCCAGCTGACGTGGTTCCTTGGTAAGGCCCTCTTCTTGGCTTTTAGACAGTGGCCATCTTGCTGTGTCCTCCTCACATGGTAGAAAGTGTGCAGTCCAGCTCTGGTCAATCTTCTTCATCTTATGTGGACACTGATCCTATCACGGAGTCCCTGCCCTCATGACCTCATCTGAACCTCATTACTTTCCAAAGGCCCTACTCCCAAGTACCATCATACTGGGGGCTGGGTCTTCAATATATGAACTTTGGTGACCCAAACATCCAATCCATAACACAGATAATTAAGTGAGAGGTTAGGATAAGAATCCTAGTTTATGGGAAACTTTTCTGTGATGTCATGGATACCTCTTTTTCATATAGCTTAGCAGAACATGTGCTTGGTCTTTGGGAGGCTAAGGAGGTGAAGGGGTTGTGAAAAAATTTATATTGGGACTTGCAGTTTTGAATTGCATTTACTTCCCCTATGGGTTTCCAATCTATTAGTATTACAGTCATATTAAAATTAGTAGTGAACTAATTATTTTTCTTTTTTGAAGAGTTTTATGGAGTTACGATTCACACACCATATTAATCAGCCATTTGAAGTATATAATTTATAGCATAAGGAGTATCATTAATGATATGGTGATAGTGATATAATGGGACAGATGGTAGTTACCTTGGTGGTGAACATAGCATCTTTTATAAACTTGTCAAATGACTAAGTGCTAGACCTGAAACTAATGTAATGTTGCATGTCAACTATACCCATATAAAAATTTTTTTTAATAAAATAGTTAAGATGGTGAAAAAAAAATGAAGTATACAATTTAGTGGTTTTTAGTGTATTCACAAAATGGCACAACCATTACCACCATTTAATTCCAGAGCATCTAGTAGTGGTTTATTTTCAATTTTTATTTTTAATGGTGGTGAAATGCGTATAACAAGATTTACCATAGAAGCAGTTTTTAGGTGTACAGTTTATTAGCGTTAAGTCCATTTGTGTTGTTGTGCATGCTGTCTCCAGAACCCCTTTCATCTTGCCAAGCTGAAAGCCATTGAACAGGGACTCTCTTCTCCCTGCCTCCCCCAAACCCTGGCAACTACTCTTCTAATTTCTGTCTCTGGGAATTCGACTACTCCGGGTACCTCATATAAGTAGAATCATACATTATTTGTCTTATTTCATTTAGCCTCATGTCCTCAAAGTTCACCCATGGTGTAGCATTGTGTCAGAATTTCTTCCCTTTTTAATATTCTACTCTGTGTGTACACACCATTTTGTTTAGCCATTCATCTGTGGTTGGACACTTGGGTTGCTTCCGTCTTCAGGCTATTTTGAATAAGGCTGCAATGAACATGGGTGTACAAATATCTCTTTGAGTCCCCACTCTCAATTCTTTGGGGCATTTACACTTGGAATCGTTGGATCATGCGATCATTCTCTTTGTTTTTTGTTTTTGTTTTTGTTTTTTTTTTAAGAACTGCCACACTAGTTTCCAGAGCAGCGGTACCATTTTACATTCTCACTGACAGTACAGGAGGGTTCTATTTTCTCCACATCCTCCCCAAGACCCGCTGTTTTCTGTGTTGATAATGGGCCTTCTAATGGATGTGAGATGGTATCTCTTTGTGGTCTTGGCTTTTGTTTCTCTAATGATTAGCAATGTTGAGTGTCTTTTCTTGTGCTTTTGACAACTTGTATATCCTCTTTGGGAAAATGGTTATTCAAGTCCTTTGCCCATTTTGGAATTGAGTTATTTATTTCTTTGTTGCTGGGTGTTAGGAATTCTCTATATATTCTGGATATTAATCCCTTAAGAGATTTGCAGAGTGCAGATATTTTCTTCCATTCCGTGGGTTGCCTTTTTTACTCTGTCAATAAATGTTCTTTGATGTACAAAAGTTCCTTATTTTCTTTAACATTCCAACATCTTTGTTTTTTAATTCCAGTGTAATTAACATATAGTGTTACATTAGTTTCAAGTGTACAATATAATGATTTAACAATTCCGTATATTACTCAGTGCTCATTGTGATACGTGTCTTCTTAATTCACTTCATTTATTTCACTCATCTCCCCACTCACCTCCCCTCTGGCAACCACCAGTTTGTTCTCTATATTTAAGAGTCTGGTTTGTTGTTGTTGTTGTTGTTTTTAAATTTATATCTTAAATACCACATATGAGTGAAATCATATGGTCTGTCTTTCTCTGATTCATTTCACTTAGCCTTATATCTTCTAGGTCCATTCATGTCATTGCAAATGGTAAGATGCCATTCCTTTTTATGGCTCAGTAATATTCCATTGTGTATATATACACCACATCTTCTCTATCCATTCATCTATCCATGGACACTTGAATTGCTTCCATATCTTGGCTATTGTAGATAATGCTGCAGTAAAGATAGAGGTGTGTGTATCTTTCCAATTTAGTGTTTTCCTCTTCTTTGCATAAATACCCAGTAATGACATTACTGGTTAGTTCTATTTTTAATTTTTTGAAGACCGTGCCTACTGTTCTCCACAGTGGCCGCACTGATTTGCATCCCACTAACAGTGCACGGACATTGTTTTTGCTTCACATCCTCAGAAGTTTTTAATTTTGATGAAGTCCAGTTTGTCTCTTTCTCCTTTTGCTGCTCATGCCTTTGATGTCCTACCCAAGAAATCACGGCTAAATCCAATTTGCTGATGCCTTTTCTCCACGTTTTCTTCTGTTCTGAGTCTTATATTTGGATCTGATCCATTTTGAGTTAGTTTTTGTGTGTGGTATTAGGTCGGGATCCCCCTTCATCCTTTTGGACGTGGATATCTAGTTTTCCCAGCACAGTTTATTGAAAAGATTTCCTTTTCTCATTGAATGTTCTTGGCCACCCTTGTCAAAAATTATTTGACACATGCAGGAGTTGATCCCTGGATTCCATTCTACTGTATTGGTCTATATGTCTGTCTTAATGCCAGCACCACCTGGTTTTGATTACTTCAGCTTTGTAGTAAAATTTGACACCACGAACTTTGCTTTTCTGATTTTCCCAGTTTGTCTTTCCTTCTGTGTATCTGTCCCAGTAAATAGCATCACCATGCTCCCAGTTGCTAAGACAGAAATCAAGGAATCATTCTTGTCTTCTCCCTCTTTATCTTCTTGTCTAGTGCACATCAAATTTTGTCAATTCTATCACCTTCATAAGTGTGTAAAATCATCCTTTCTTCTCCTTCTTCCTTAACCCTGTTTAACCTTTGGCATCTCTTGCCTGAACATCAACTTTCTTTCTTTCTCTCTTTTTTTTTTTTTTTGAACATCAATTTTCTAACTCATCTTCCTCTCTCTTATTCTGTCTCTTCGCTCCATACAACTGCCAGAATGAGGGTCTTAAAAGGTAAATCTGGTTACGACACTCTATTTTAATGCACTTCCTTCTTCACCTGGCCCACCAGTTTCTCTCCTTCAGTACAGTCAGTTCTGTAGTGCCTGCCCAACTACTTGAGGTCCCTTTCACTGGTTATTCTTGCCTATGATTTTCCACTAGATGCCCTTGAGGCACTTGGCACCCAGGCAAAATTTAGTCACATTCAAGAGCTTACGGCCATTTCAAGCTTTCCCCAGCATTTTTCAGGGTAAATCTATTTTTTTTTTCAATTTTAATAAAACCAGACTACCCAAGGTGTTCACTTGAAAGAGAATCTCCTTTTGAAGTTGGAGAGATCTTTCCTGACCCCTGCTATTTAGTTTCCTCCGGGGAACATTTTGCTGAGTAATCCCAGTGTTCCTAACAAACAAGTATGCATAGAAGAGCTGGGGGAGAAGGAAAGAAGGTATCTCATTTCAGTGAGTCTGTAGGTGTTGGCCAGATAAGTATCATCTAGACAGGTAAAGTATTATTTACGAAGCCTTCCCATAGCCTTGCCTATTGCGGGCATCACTGTCACTGTCACGTGGATGGGACCTCACATGGATGGGACGTCATGGATGGGACTTGGGAGGGGACCTCAGAATCTTTTTCAACATCCTTTGTAGGCAGTCAGTGCCCGTTGCTCAGAGCTGGCAAGGAGAATGAAACTCATGGCCATTTCTGTTGTTTACCCATAGTGTATGGTTTCTGAAAATTGATCCCTAGAGTCACTTCTGTCACTGCTACCCATACCAATCCCTCTAATGCTTAGTCACCACATGGCTCAATTATAATATGTTAGAGCTAGAGGAGGATATTTTAATCCAAACTAAGAGAGAAAAAAACCCACTAAACTTTCTGGGCTGCAGTGTATTATTTGAACTGATGTTCTGTGCTGCCTCGTTAAATGTGTCGCTGTGTTTCTCTTTATAGGTGAGAAGATGCTCCTGTGCGGTTTGGGCTCAAGTGAAAGGTAAAGCCATTTTCTGCCTAAGCATCCTGTCCTTCCTTCTCTCCAGTCTGCAGCATCAAGTTTATGTTAATGAGATTTCTTTTTAAGTCGTCACAGGTGACAGAAACCCATCTCATACTAGTTTAAGCAAAAATCCATAGCTGAAAAGGATGGGGGGTGGGGAGCTTATGGACCTGGCCCCAGAGGGACATCACCAGGATTCCAGGAACTGACACTTGGGACTTGACTATGAGTGGGACACTCTGCCTTTGTCTGCTCTCAGCTTCCGAATTGCCTTCATTTTCTTCTACAGTAAGCCACATGAGGGAGAGGAACGGCCACCAGCTGCCCAGTTTAGCAACTTCAGTGGGAACAGAAGGTTTTTCAATTCAGGGAAAGAATCTTTCCTCCTAGATTAAGTGACCATCTGTGGGATGACGAGTACCCCTCCTAGGGTACTCTAGAGGCACTATGAACAGCCTACCTTGGATTCGGGGCTTACTCATATGGCTGGTTGAGGGCAAATCAGTGTGATTGACAGCCTCCCCAGGATTGCATTGAGAGGTGGACACGATCCCCATCAGGAAAAGAGGCACAGAAAAACATGCTGGCAGGCCAATTCGAAGAGCCACAACAGTCCACTACTCTGAGCCTTTTAGCTGCTTAGCATGGGCACACCCATACATGTATAATTTTCTTTAAATGTTTTATTTATTTATTTGAAGAGAGGGAAGGAGTGAGAGAGAGAGGGTGTGGGGGTGGAGAGGGGTGGAGGGAGATGGAGAGAGAGTCCTAAGCAGACTCCATGCTGAGCTGGGAGCCTGATGTGGGTCTCCATCCCACACCCCCGAGATCAAGACCCCAGATGAAACCAAGAGTTGGGTGCCCAACCAACTGCACCACCCAGGCTGCCCCACATACACTTTTAGGAAAAACACCCCCCATTATGGGAGAATTATCCTCTGAACAACAAAAGTGGAACTCAGTTGGAAGACAACTCAAAGGTGGGCCTGTTACTGCATCCAGCTCCGTGACCAGGATTGCTGGTGGTGTCCAGTCCTCTTGATCCAATGCAGGTGGACTTCTCATGATCCTCGAGCATTTGGTAACTAAGTGCCAGACGTAAGCATTCTCAAACCACAGTCCGTAATGTGAAAGGGGGGACTGGATAAGCACATCAGTTAGCAAGGAAGAAAAGATAGTGCGGTGCAGTGAACAGGGGGCCCAGAACAAGGACCACAGCCTGTTGGATGGGAAGAGCAAGCATCCCCTGGCTGGTGGCAAAGTGAGTCACTTGGTTACTTAGTTGGGCCGCCTCAGTTTTTTCCTGGGAAAGTGCCCTATCCCTTTCCTCCAAAGCTGTCTGTGCATAAGATGCAGCAGGGAGGAGATCGGCGGAGTGCTTCTTCCTCGCCTGGGCAGTTGTCCAGCGGGGAGGAGAACTGCCTCAGGGATTGAGCAATCGCGGCTCGGTGTTTGCCAGACGTGGGATTTCCCTGGCAGTACATTTCTTTCAACCAACAGGCAACCAGCCAGTGGATTTGATTCCCAGGAATTCCATGAGTTTGTAGCTAATACCAGAAATCTTGTCAAGTTTATGACCTTTGCATCTGGACCTTTTCTTTGTGGTTTATGAGTCCTGGCAACAGCCTGAGGAATTTTGCTCTTAGCTTGGAGTATCAGTTTAACCCATTACATCCTGCCCCTTACCTCAGAGCAGCGTAAAACAATAGGCTGCTGTGGTGAGGAAGTGCCCACATAACCCTGCTTCCAGAAGGATTCCAACAAAGGGCACTTTACAATGGGGGATCTCTTACCTTGTCAGTAGAGGGTGCTCAGCAGGAAATGATTGGGAGGGACCTGGAGAATTAGGCTTCCTTCATTTGTCTGCTTGTCTTCTAATCTTATTTCCCATCTTTTTATCTCTACTCACACCAACTTCAATAAGAGCAGAGGACGTGGCTTTCCTACTGGGCAAGGCACATTACCTGACCATCAGCCATCTTGGATTGTGGTTGCCAGGCAGCGAGGGTCTCCCCCATCCCACCCCTCTACTTTCTTGAGATACAACTTATGTAACATCGAGTTTAATGTGTACAGTGTGATGATTTGATTTGTATTGAAAAATCAGGACCAAAATAAGGTTAGTTAATATCTCCATCACCTCACATAATTATTGTGTATGTATTTGTGTATGTGTGAACATTTAAGATCTACTCTCTTAGGAACTTTCGGTCTTATAATACAGTATTGTTAAGTATAGTTACCATGTTGAATATTAGATCCCCAGTACTTGTTCATTTTGTAACTAGAAGTTTGTACCCCTTGGCCAACATCTCCCCATTTCTCTCCACCCCCCCAGACCCTAGGAACTACCATTCTACTCTCTATTTCTATATAGAGTTCAGCCTTTTGAGATTCCATGTATAACTATGATCATACAGTATTTGCCTCTCTCTGACTTATTTTACTTAGCATAATTGATGAGGGTCTCCCTTCACAGAGGTGAGTGCTGTTACACTAATGTGTGCAGATAGGCCAAGCTTCCTGTCTTGGAATTTAAGTGAAGGCCACAAGAAACAACCACATGTTCCAATATTTGGACATTTTTCAGCCAATGCATTCCCTAAGGCTCTAAGGGTGGGAATGCAGTTTCTACACAGAAAGAGGTGCTTTTATCAGAAGAATGGAATGTGCAAGCCTCCTGGACAAGCACAGAAAGAGCTGGTTTCAGGAGCTGTTTGATGTGATTAGAAAACACTCTAACTGGTGGAAGAAATTGCCAAAGAGCTGGCTACTGTGATAAAATTAACAGGAAGGATTTTGCTTTGGACACATCTAAGTGGCTTATGGTAGTGCCTTCTTTACCCTCCTCAGCCCAAGAACCAGTGTTGAAAGAGAGCTCAAACCGTTGCATTCAAACTATTGGAAGGCTCTAGAGATAATGGAGAAGCCCACTGTTTTTTAAAATGCTGAAGGCAATTCTGACATACATATCCACCTGTTGTGCACTCACCTCTGGTAGTCCCCCTTTGCAGAAATGTTGGAGACTGCCATCTCAGAAAGTAGTTTGGAGAGAACTAGGATCCAGATTAGTCCTGAACTTGTTCCAGTTCATCCATGCCAAGCACCTGCCCCATTCTCACCTTTGCCCAGTAACGAATTCTGTTATTTACCTTATGTAGATTGCCCCTAGCAGATCTTTGTGATGACTACCAGGGAACCAGCAGTTGGTTTGAGGGGAAAGGCAAAGGCCTGGACTTCCTTGCTTGAGCCTTGCTACTCCTCAGCCTAGTGTCTTTGAAATTATATTTAACTTGGCTGGTTCTCTGCTGCCTCTTACCTAGATCTCTCAGATCCCCTCTAGCCACAAAGTACTGACTCTGATTTCTTGAGTCACAAGGGAAGGTCATTTGATGTATGTGAGATGATCACAAACTGTTCTCACAGAACACTCTTCTGTCATAGAGGTCAAACCCCTGACTCATTAGTGACCGCTCCCTTTTCCCTTTCAGCCCACATTTTACACCTAGGGTATGCCCATCTCATGTCTGGGTTCACCCCCTGAGCACAGGCCTTTATATCTGTAGCACAGACAGCTGGAACAGCCTCCTTTCTTCTCTCCTACCACGGTGTTCAGGGCTCCTTCTTTACTCCAGCCTACATGTCTGACTCATATTTCTAAATTGCAGCATTGATTTGGTTATTTCTCCTGATGGTTCTTCCCAAAGTTCTCCGTTACATTTTAGATTGGCTTCTAAGGCCTCAGTCTGACACCAGCATACCCTTCTAGATGCCTCTCATCTCCATTCAAAGTGATGTGTCCGATCTTCTCTGGTTATGGTCTTTTCTTACTTTCCTCAATGTCTTTGTTCATACAGTTACCTATTTATTTCTACCCGGATTGCCCTATAACCTTCCTGTAATCTCTGTTTATTAGCTTATTATAATCCCACCTGTTTGTCAAGGTTAAAATCAAATGCAGTGTCCTCTCTGAAGCCTTTTTTATTTCCTCCAGAGAGAGGCTCTCTCCAAGAGAGATCCTGGGGCAGGATCTTTCTTTCTCCCTCCCTCTCTCTAGCCATTCTGCTATACTCTAGGGCAACTGGTGCACTTGTCTTTTCTTAGTAGATTTCATACCGCTGAGGGAGAGCACTTGAAGAACGGGACCTGTGCCTGGCACATATCGGTGCCTAATCAGAATTTAATGAATTGAGTTGGAGGATTACTGGTCAACCAGCAGTAGGGTCGGATGAAAAATGAAGCACAGTAAGGGCAATATTTAAGTGAGGCAGAGAAGATGTACATCCAGATATAGCCTAGTGTGTATGTGTTTGTGTAGGCTGTGCACCTGTATGTACCCACACATACACAAACATGCACACGCATACTTTAAATCTTCATCATTGTAGTTGGAATTACAATGTGGCCTCACAAATTCCTGGCCACTGGTATACACCCACCTCCTCTCAGTTACTCATTCAAAGGCTATTGTAAGTGTTGCTGAGAAAGGACTCAAAGATGTAATTAAGGTCCCAAGGAGGGAGATTGTCCAGATGCATCTGACCCTCACATGAGCCCTTTAAATCTGGATCTAGAGGTCAGAAACAGGAGATTGGAGATTCAAAGGGCGAGATGAGTCTGACATAAATAAGGGTTTCTCCTACTGTCTTCAAAGGTGGAAGGAACCACATGTCAGGAATGTGGTTAGCCAGTCAGAGCTGAGTGGCCGATGGCTGGCCACCAAGTAAGAATATGGGGACCTCAGTCCTGCAACTGCAAAGGATTTGGAAGCAGATTCTTCCCCCAGAGACTCCAGAGGGGAATGCAGCCCACTTGACATACTGATTTTAGCCTTGGAAGACGCTGAGCAGAGGACCCACTCACAACGTGCCAGAACTGCTGGCCCACAGAACTACGAGGTTATGAGTGGGGGCTAGCTGCTAAGTTTATGGTGATTTGTTAGGCTGCAATAGAAAATGAATTCAAAAATGTTGCTGATTCATCAGGTGTTCTGTATCTCTAAATTAATTTCCTACTTTGATCTCCTTTGTCATCTCCCACTCTGCATAGAACTCTACTTGACCTCAGGCTAGCAGAGAGGAATTTAACACACTAACTAAACATCGTGGTGCAAATTCTTTGTACCTTTTGGAGAACAGGATTATTGCTTTCAGGAAATGACCCTGCTCATATAAATTCATGAAAAAATGTCCATAGCTACAGGACGTTCTCAAGCTGTCCGGAAGCTTGAGAGTGGGCATGGAGTCTTTCTAACTTTTTCTTCAGCACCTGTGATATTTGCATTAGTGGAAGAGTTCAAAGCGAAGCCCAGAGAAGCCCTGTCACGCCTCATGAACCCTGTACCTCCTCTGGGAGCCACCTTGAAGAGAGTGGCAGCATTTAACCTAATGGATTTACTCTCTCCAAGAATGAGTCACTGCGAATCTGATTTAATACATGATTCACTCAAGTTTCCAAAAGAATATTCTACAAGTGACTCAGAAGAAAAATAAGCATGAATTTATGGCATGAAACCATGAGAAGGAGGGTAACCAGAAGATGGCAAAGCTTGAAAAAATGTAATTTGAATTGGCCAGCTGTAAATTTTCTCAGTGAGGAATTAACTGGGAAAGTCCCTAAAGAAATCTTGTGTGGCTACCCTGTGAGGGCTCTGGGTTGCACTGACTCCGATTTTCAAAGAGCACATACACAGAGTAGACCAAGAGACCTATACCAGCAAGAATCATACCTGGAGCCAAAAATCCCTGGAGCCATGTTATGCAGGATTTAAAAAAAAGAATTTCCAATATTTACGTCCATAGTAAGGGATAGTTGTGTGGGCCCATTGCTTTGGGTGAATGTGTCCTGCTGGTGGATGGTCAAGAGAAATTCAGGTCCATCAACTCCCACTTTGCTTCTGTCTTGTTGGTTTGTGAGGGGACATTTTTTAAAAGCAGGAGAAGAGCTAACTGATTCACATAAATTAAAGCCTTCTGACCCAGATGAAGCACATTCTAGCAGGTTCTTAAATGTGCAAGTGAGATGGAGAACCTCAGCAGGTGATCTTTAGGAAAACTTGAAGAGTAAACTCAAGTCAAACAGAGATGAGCAGAGCACAGGGAACTTCATATGAGGAAGACAGAGCTCGCAATGTATAGTTGATGATAACTTGAAGTCAAGGCCAGGCAAGATCTTTTAGCAAGTGGCTCTATGGTAGAAACAGCAGCAGATCCCATGACTGGAGCATTAGGGTTTCTGCATTAGTAAATATACTTAGACAGTTGGTACCTGCTTGAGATAAATATTTTAGATAAGGATTCACTTACCCTTTGTTCTAACTCCTTTAGGTTTCCATTTAAGTCTTTAATCTGTCTGGATTTTATTTATATTTATATTTAGTATTTTATTTATATTTATATATTTGTCTATATTTATATAGATTTAAATATAAGCTCTAATCAAAATCACTGTATTCTTTTTTTTTTAATTAGTGTATTCTAAACAGTCAGCCTGTTTTCTCAACACGAATTCTGAATAATATATCATTTCCCCCAATGACTTGAACCAGTAACAAAACACCAATAATGAACCATAGCTAACATTTGCCAGTTGCCTACTGTGTTTCGGGCACAGTCTTAACATGACTTATCTCATGCATTTCTCATAATAACCCTATAAGGGGGTACTATTATTATCATTCCCATGTTACTGGATCAATCCTCAGTGGGGAAATCGAGACCCAGAGTGGCTGAAAAACTTGTCCAGAGTCCATAGTTAGGGTGTTCAAATACAGACTTGGATAACCTGACTTGGAAATTATTTGATAGACATGGGTTTGTTTCTATACTATTCTGTCCCCTTATATTCATTCTTCTCTGACCCTGCACTGTTCTAATAGGTAGCCATTCAAGTCACTCCCCCAATTTTTTTCTCTGCTGCTTTGTGGTTTAACCACAGCTCCTTCTTCCCATTCTTTAGTATGGTTTTTTAAAATATGAAAGCCTTTTTCTTCTGGAAAAGGTAGCCAAACGATATCAGCCATGTTTTTTCTGGAAGGTCTCTCTCTTGACAAGGTAATGGGTTTTGCAGAGCCTTTTAGCAAGAAATATATTCTGTGGCCGCTTTTGCTGGAGCCACTATCCTGTGAGAGAATAGAACCACACTACTCTTAACCTAGTTGTGGAGATTGTACGCGTCCATACAACTCTGCAATGACGGGAAGTTTTAAAGTGGCAGTGTCCAATATGGCAGCAACCAGCCACATGGGGCTATTGGGCACTTGAAATGTGTACTTGAAATTTAGTGCTTGAGATGATATGATTGAGAAACAGAATTTTTAATTTAGTTGGAACTGATTTAGGTCTCTCTCTCTTTTTTTTTTTAATTAAATTTTTTTTTGACAGAGAGAGAGATCACAAGTAGGCAGAGAAGCCGGCAGAGAGAGAGGGAAGCAGGCTCCCTGCGAGCAGAGGGCTGGATGCGGGGCTCGATCCCAGGACCCTGGGATCATGACCTGAGCCAAAGGCAGAGGCTTAACCCACTGAGCCACCCAGGCACCCCTGGAACTAATTTAGGTTTCAACAGCCACACAGCGGCCAGTGGCTACGGTATTGGAGAGCGCAGATTTGGTGATGAGAGAGTCAGGGAGGAGGGACTGTTCTCAGATGAGCCTCACTTGCTGCTGGGGAAGCGAGTCTTCTCTGTTTTGAGGCTCTCACGTCCAGGGGCTGCTATTTTTCCCCTCAGGCCCCTCCTTGTTACTTAGCAGACCTTTATTTTTGCTGGTTTTCAGCTCTTCCCAGGCAGCACTGGATGGCCCAGAGGACAGAATAAGCGTATGCCTGGGGCATCAGTAAAAGGAAGGTAACGAAAAGAGAAATAATTTGATATCCCAACAGTGACAACCATAGCAAATCATCTGGCAGAATTTGGACTTAGTTGCACTTCCTTATATTTCTTCCATGGCAAGGTGGTGTTTCTCTTTTTTAATTCTGTGTATGCACCATCAGCCCCCAGGATCTTTCCGACGTCTGCCGCACCATTGTATGCGGACTTTTGTTCTTTTAAAGAGGAACTTGAGCTGCTACAGTCCGAGGCCCCACCATCATCAGCCAGTGCCCCAAAGAGCAGGGCTTGCACCCTGGACTTCTGAAGGGGAGCGTGGCCTGCTCTGCTGTAGATAGAACTGGATTCAGATCTGTATTGGGAAAGCACGGTGTTGTGGTTAAAAAGCCAAGATGCTGGAGCCAGACAGCTCAGGTTTGGATCCTGACTCTTGTATATTAGCTGTGTGCTCTTGGACAAGTTGCTGAACCACGCCATGCCTCAGTCTCTCATCTGTAAAATGGGAATAATACTACTACTCAGTGTCTTATTATGACGCTAGGCACTATTATTGTAATACGTGGTACTATTATAGTACTCCCTAGGTGGTCAGGAGAAGTCATTAGGACAGTGTTTGGCATATCGTAAGTGCTCAATCAGTTGTTTGCCAATTAAAATGAGCCCTTTGGTATAGAACAGGATGCTCTGATTCAGTCACTGGGCCCATAATGGGCCACTCAAGTGTGGGTGTTCTTCAGTGTGTAGCAAAGGATCTCCCTGCAGTTGACACGTGATAAACCCCAAATAGAATATATGTATGTCTTTCAGAGAACTTCTACATTAATTTTCTTTAAAAAAAAAAGACTTTATTAATTTATTAGAGAAAGAGAGAGAATGTGCAGGCACATGTACAAGCCAGAGGGAGAGGGTGAGGGAGAAGCAGACTCCCCACTGAGCAGGGAGCCTGATGTGGGGCTTGATCCCAGGACCCTGGGACCATGACCTGAGCTGAAGACAGATGCTTAACCGACTGAGCCACCCAGGTGCCCTGCATTTATTTTCTTACTTTAGCCTCATGACAACCTGCTGGGCTGAGCAGGAAGGTACTATCATTGTTGGTGTGTCAGGAAAACGACAGATGACACCATCCATCAGATAGACTCATTTGCTATATTTAACCAGGGGAGCCACCTGTCATTTTTAGAGCAAAATTCCATGTGATATCAGAGTTACTTCTTCCTCAGTGCAAAGGAGAAAAACTCTCAGGTGCAGCTGAATGAGAGAAGACAGATACAAACAACACAGCCCGCTGTATTTGTATGCACAGGAAGAAGAGCTTTTTTTTAATCCCCTGTGACTTGAATGTGGCCTGGTTTTTCCATTTCCTTTTCAGAAATACCCTGGGACCATGTCTTCCCTAGGCCTGCACCATAGGGGCCGACTCAGGGGGTGCAGAGGCACTCTGGGCCTTCTTGGGATGGCTTGTGAAATGGGGCCAAGCTCTGGGCTAGCACGGAGTGAGCGCAGGTGCCCACGCGCCTCCCAGGAGGTCTGTGACTGCACACCATGGGCTCAGTGTGTGGTTTTGTCATGCAGATTCGTCGTTGGTCCCGCAGCAGATGGCGGCCGTCGGGCTGGGCTCCGTGGCTGTTGTGATTGTTCTCGCATTCCTCTCCTTCTCAGCCGTGTGGTATGTGAGACTGTCATTTTTGAGAAATGAGTGGAATGGCGGAAGGATGGGGTCAGAGTCTTGAAGAACAGCTGGGCTTGAGGAGGGTCAGAGGGGTGGTGGGTGGAGGTGGTCAGGGGCTCCGCACTCGTCAGGTAAGAGGCTTGAGTAGCTCTGTGCCTCAGGGCGGGGAGGGGGTGCCCTTCTGGTGCAGAAAAGGAGCAGGGCCAGCGATGGCTGTGAGGGCTACTCACGGAGTGGTGGCTGGTCCCCCACGCTGCTTCCCATGAGGGTACAAGAGCCACATGTACAGATGCACCAAGGGAAAACCCAAGTGTGTCATTGGACCCCTTTCCTCCTCCACGTCTAGATTGCAGACGGGTGCTACGTGCGGAGGAAGCAGCGTCGCTGGGGCAGGTGCTAGGACAACTTCTCAGGTTCCTGCCTACACAGAGGCCCTGTGGGGCTTCCGTCCGGGTGTGTGTGGTTCTGCAACTTTTTCCATTCCCAGCTTGGCCCCATTTCTGGATTCAAGATGGCGAATACCTCTGTGGAACCCCCGAGTGGAGGAAGCTCAGAAATCGCTGACGTCTTCTCTGCTGGCTACACAACCAGTTCTGTGTCTGTGAACTTGAGACCCTTGAGAGACAATGTAGTATTGGCTACAGGCTACGGGTCATGTGGGCCGGACGTCTGAGTGCTTCCCGAGAGTCAGCTCTTCTGGACGTTGAATGCAGGACAGTCTCTGCACCTTTATAGCATCCCTGGACTAATTTGGAATCCATCTTTCTACAACGAGCGGTGAGGTGGACTTAAGTTTGGGCTAGAATTTGCCTTTATGAAGGAGGTCATTGAAAAGGATAGAGATCGTTGACAGAGGCAACCTGTCAAGCATTTCAGAAGCAACCCTTTTCCTACAATTAATTGACATACTAACAGAAAGTATGCTAACTGGCCTCTCCAGCAAGTTCCCTGCAACGGCTGTGAGGCAGCAGAGCTTTGATACAGAACCATGGGTCTTACAGGTGTCCAAAAGTCATAAGTTATCATTCCAATAAAAGTATTCTGTTGATTTCAGCTGTTCTTCTCTACCACACCAAAGTTTATAGCAGTCTTGCCTGACTTTTTTTATTACTCTCTCTTGAAAATGCCCTGCGTCTTCCTTTAGATCGGGTACTCGTGTAGTAGCAGTGGGCTGAAACACTGTCAAGCCTATGGCCATCGTCCACGTGCTTACAGGGAAGGGGAAAGACTGTGCCTGATGGGACCTTCCCCTTGACCTCCAGCCTCAGTAACTATGACTGTTACCGAGCCATGACACATGAATCATGGGCCACATGACATGAACTATGACACATTAGATATATGTGGTCTACACATTAGAAATCAGCAGTCCAGGACCCCGTTGACTTGCTGAATTTGCAGATGGAACACGTTAGATTGGACTTTTAAACCCTGAGTCAGTGTTCTTTAGCTTTCTTCCCTAACTGATGGTATAACTCCAGGGTTCAGAAAGAAATGAACGGAGCAGAGGCATGTGACTTTCCTAAGCAGCAATGGTATTCTCCTTCTTCTCCCTCTTTTTCGAGGCCTGGAAGATAACAAGCACGGGAGAGACAGGCAAGGGACAGTTCTAGTATACAACCTCAGGGTACAGTGTATATGAATGCGGCCCTGGAATTGTGCAGGGTTGCAGTCCTGCAGAAGAGGGACAGTGCTCCTGATGGGGTGGGCTGCTGTGTTCTCACTCCGTTAGCTCACTGGGCGTTGGTGAGGGTCAGATCCAGGTGGTCTGGGCTGGTGGGCAGAGGAGGAAACCAGAGGAACAGTAGAAACAGGTGGAAACTGTCTGCGGAGCTGCTGTGCCCGGGGAGACCTGGCTCTAAGTAGATGCCCTCAGCTGGGAAGGGTCAGAGAGAGGGAAGCCGTATCCTGACGCTCGGGTGTTCAGGAACAGCCGGCAGCCCCGGCAGCTTTGTCAGTATTCGGAATAATTGTCCTTTGTCCTCTGAGGTACTACCTTGGACTATAACCTAGAATCAGCATTTATTTATTTATTTTTATTAATTTTTAAATTTTTTATAAACATATAATGTATTATTAGCCCCAGGGGTACAGGTCTGTGAATCACCAGGTTTACACACTTCACAGCACTCACCATAGCACATCCCCTCCCCAATGTCCATAACCCGACCCCCCTCTCCCAACCCCCTCCCCCCAGCAACCCTCAGTTTGTTTTGTGAGATTAAGAGTCACTTATGGTTTGTCTCCCTCCTGATCCCATCTTGTTTCATTTATTCTTTTCCTACCCTCCAAACCCCCAACGTTGCATCTCCACTTCCTTATATCAGGGAGATCATATGATAGTTGTCTTTCTCCGACTGACTTATTTCACTAAGCATAATACCCTCTAGTTCCATCCACGTTGTCGCAAATGGCAAGATTTCATTTCTTTTGATGACTACATAGTATTCCATTGTGTATATATACCACATCTTCTTTATAGGATCAGCATTTAGAACCTTCCCTGCTCTCATCTTCGGTGGCTTACAGAGTAGAGCTCTCAAAAGACTACTATAAATAGGTTTCTACTTTTAATTTTTAAAGTATTTTATTTATTGATTGATAAACAGAGAGAGAGATCACAAGTAGGCAGAGAGGCAAGCAGAGAGAGAGGGAGGAAGCAGGCTCCCTGCTGAGCAGAGAGCCTGATGTGGGACTCGATCTCAGGATCCTGAGATCATGACCTGAGCCAAAGGCAGAGGCTTTAACCCACTGAGCCACCCAGGCACCCCTCTGCTTTTAATTTTTATGTGCAGCTATTCAAGCTCATACTATTTTCACAGCCTTTGAATGAAATTTGGACTCATTACAAATGATTGTGGCTAGTGTAGGGTAAGGTCTCTGATGAGTGAGGATTTTCCTGAAAGCCTCCTCTCTCCAAAAAGAGAATCTGAACTTCCATTATTGCTATTATTATTGTTGTTGTTGTTGTTGTTGTTTACTGGACCTGTAAACACCATATGTTTCTGCAGCCTCTTAATTTCCAGCTGTAGAATTAGCTGCCAAAGAAGTTCCTGTGGTCCCGAGGGGAGCTTAGCAAAATTGTCATTGAGAGGAAGAAATCCCACTTGCCTAGTAGCAAAAGCTTCTAGTTAAAATAACAGACTAAGTATTAAGTAAAATATTAGGTAAAATGTACTTCTGCATACAGTGCAGAAGTGTGGAACAGTTTATGGAAGAATACTAAAATAACAAAAACATGAACTTTTTCACTGCCTTTGAACATTCCCAAAGACAGCCCCGGGTTGCTCAGTAGTGTTGCTTAAGAAAAGCAGGGCCTGAGCGTTGGCAAGAAGATGTACCATCTTTCCACAGTTGTGTTTTCTCATAAATGTGAGGTGAGGGCCGCCAGAAGTTCTCTAAATTCGCCTAGTGGCTTTGCCACAAGACTGTTCATTTTTTCCCAAGCAGACTCATGGATAAGGTGGGGAGGGCATCTCAGGAGAGCAAAGGTGGGTCTTTCTGGGAGAACGCAGGGTCTGTTTGTGGAAGGACTGGCCAGGCAGCCCTCAGAGTTGGATTTGAGGGCCTCTAAATAAGGCGAGGTCCAAGCTGGGGGTGGAGGAAGGATCTCTCCCTTAGTTACCGTCTTGGGGACAGCGTGTCTAGGTGAGCACAGAGGCCCAGCTGTGAGCTCCCTTCTAGATGAGGAATCAAAACTGGGGGTTGCCCCCCTTGAGAGCAGATTGTTCCCTGGCTGATCTGTGGGTGTGCACACCCGTAATCTTGATTTCTCTCCACTGGAGTTTTTGTTTATGCACATTTTTCCATTCCCTCCTCACGACAGTTGTGTATGGTGGGAAGGTCAGGGATTAACATTTCCCCCACTTTAGAATGGAGAAATGGGTTCAGACAATTATGTGACCTGAATTGTGTGGTCAGATTTTCCGACTGCAAGTCTGGTCCTCATTCCCGGGGTTGGACAGGCCTTGAGCTAACCTTTGAACAGCACTTTTGGTTTTGGGGAAAATCAGGTCTTTGCGTGTGTGTGTGTGTGTGTGTGTGTGTGTGTGTGTCTGTGTGTCTGTATTTTAAACCATTGTCTTTAACTGCTGTAACATAGGGCTTTTTATATCTATCTTTTTTCACTATAAGGTATCGCACCCACCCCCCCCCATCACTTCTGGAAGGAAACACAAACCACCAGACAGATGGAGGTTAATTAGGGGAAACAGGTGATAGTCTGTCTCTGACTCAAGTCATAGCTGGGCACCTAACCAAGACCAGAGCAGACGTGATTATCTTACAATTCCACATTAGCTTGGAATCAAGTTAATATTTAAATTGATTTTAAAGGAAGTAAAAAAGAATTCTCAGTGCTCCCTTTTTATTGCTGATCTCACATTCGGATTTTCTAAACCGCCTATTTTTCCATTCTATGCATCTAAGAGAAAAACCAGTATCAGTAGTAGTCGTCAATCAGCCAGTGTGTCGGGGCCTCTCGCCTGCCACAACCGTTGTCCTTGAACTGAAGTGCATGATTTGGGAGAGGAAAGAGGATGTGGCTTTTTCTGCCCCCAGGTTTGTGTGCAGGTGATACACTGAAGCAAAAATTTAAAAAACAAACAAAGCAGTATGCTGATTGTTTGAGAGAGAGAGAAAAAGAATGAATGAATCATTTTGGTGATGAGTATGTATACATGTGTACCCATATCCGTACTTTCTGGGCACAACTCAGGGTTACCAAAATGGGGTCCAACTACACATGTTGTTTTGTAAACTATTGCTTCTTTCCTTCCTGGGCGCATATATATATATGTATTTATTTAATGTCAATAGTGACTACATTAAAAGTTTGTGCCATAGCTTCTTTAACCAATACTCTTCTGCGCATGGTGCATTTACCATGTTTCCAGATGTTTCCTAACCTTATACAGTTCGTATAATTGTATGTAATTATCATTTAGGCTACATTCCTAGGATTGAAATTGAAACTGATAGATATTTTGTGTTTACTACATATCGTCAGAGGAATCTCAATGGAAAGTTTATACCAGTTGACATTCTCACCAACCGAAAGCCTCAACACCTCTGGACACTGTTGATGTATTTCAGTTTGATTAATCTGATGGCAGAAAAATGATGACTTGGTGGTATTTTACTTGCATTTTGCATGTGGATTGGTCATTTGTAATTCTGTCTTGGTGAATTGCCTTTTTTTCTCAAGTACTGGGCTTGTCTTTTATTGATATGAAAAGCCCTTTGTATCATAATAATTTTTTTCCCTGGCTATCATATATTTTATAAACAAATTTTCTAGTTTATCATCTCCCTTTTGACCTTGTTTATGTCAAGCATTACCACACATCTTCCTTTTGACCTTGTTTATGTCAAGCATTACCACACACCAAAGCATGCCTTTGGTGCCATGCTTAGAGGGACCTTCCAATCTCAAGGTAATAAATCTAATTCAGCAGTTTAATGGAAAAAAAACATTTAAATTTTTAATCCATCTGAAATTTATTTTAGTATAAGAAATGAGGTGGGGGTGGATCTTTTTTATTATTAAGTTGCTAAATGGTTTAGCCATTTGTCCTATTAATATTCATTGACTTTTTCCTCAGTGATTTGAATTATATACTGAATCATAGAACATTCCCCTTTGTTCTGCTGATCTATTTCTGTGCCAATACCACCTGCTAGAACTTTTTTTTTAAGATTTTATTTATTTATTTGACAGACAAAGATCACAAGTAGGCAGAGAGGCAGGCAGAGAGGGGGAGGGGGAAGCAGGCTCCCCACTGAGCAGAGAGCCCCATGCAGGACTCGATCCCAGAACCCTGAGATCATGACCTGAGCTGAAGGCAGAGGCTCTAACCCACTGAGCCACCCAGGCGCCCCCAACCTGTTAGAACTTTTAAATAGGGCTTTTTTCATACCAGATAAAAGTAAGTTACAACTCTTTCTGTGAATTCTCAGATTATTCTCAGCTTTTATTATATATTTATTCATGGATACATCTTTATTGTACATAAACTAAAGAATTATTTGGTCAGTTTCTCCCCCTTCA